GTCGTTGAACCGAATGTACGAAGGAAACTGTTAAAATAACCACAGCATTAACAACAACCTTGAAATAAGAGCGCAAGGTTTATCTGATAATCAGATGCATGAAAGTAGCGTTTGTTGCTTTAGCAAACAGACATCGGGCGCGTTTTCTCAGAATCATCATTCGCCGATGGAGAGGAAAAGTTAAATACTATAGCATTTTATTTTATGAAAATGAGATAAAGAAGTTTTAGCACTGAAAGAGAAGTGATCTCGCGCTGATAGAACTTAAAGAATGCAGAATCGAATCGTTAATCGAATTTAATTGTGAATTTAATCTAATTGAATCGTTCTGAATTTGCAAAAATCGTTCTTGAATCGAATCGAAAACCTATCAATCGTGAATCGAATCGATTCGCTGTCTACCCAAAGATTCACAGCCCTAGTGTATATGCATAAGCATCCCGTGGCCGATCCATGAGGCGGATCTGAGTGCCCTCAGCTGAGACGTCCCAATTTTACATCTGAGCTGTTTCATAAAGAGACACATGAACACCACTCAACTACTTTTTTGATGTTTATGATAGCAGAGGGGCATGAGAACTTACACGTCCTCTGGTAGAATGATTAATAAAGAAGATGAAAAACTGTCCGCCACTTCTTTCAGCACTTTTACTTTTTAAAATCAAAATCAATCAACTCAAATATTTTCCAAATCCAGTGTTCAAGCAGATTTAATGCCACTGAACATCAGTAAGAATCTATCAGGAGGTAGATCACTTGAGCTTCAGTGCCTGCACTCCCATTGACAGTCACCAGTAGATCAACTCCTCATATACAACTTTGTGCATTTCCAACAGTTGCTGTCGGCTATGTCGCCTTAAATCACTAACCATCATTGAAAAGGAGCGACTTCCGGTTGCTTTTTTACTGCAAAATACTATCAGTGTGAACAACCCTTCAGGCAGAATGATACAAAAAACAAAAGTAGCATCTAATGTGTCTGTGCTAATCCACCGTAACTTAAAATGCATCCCTGTAGCTGTAGAGAATCCTCTCCAGGCCTTGTGCTCACTTACTGTTACAATGAGTCACTCAGCCACACCGTCCAAACGACTCCCTCAAGCACTGAGACATCAACCCATGCAGCTAGCGTCAATGCTTGCAATTATGGGAAAAACACATCATGCAAATATGTTTGCATCACGTTATAAAAATGTTCTGTTTGCAGAGAGTGCAGGAATGGACCATAATGAACCTCGTGCACATCAACTAATAATACACCAATATAAACTAATGATCATTTTTAGTCCACATCTGTCTTCTTCTGTCCATCTCTTTGTCTTCCCCCTTTCCAAACTTCTCTGTTTTCCAGTCTATCTTTTTATCCACATTTCTGTCTCTTTCTGTCCATCTCACTGTCTCTTTCACTTTCCATTCTTCTCTCTTTTGCATCTCTTTTTATCCACGTTTGTTTTTTTCCTGTCCATTTCTGTCTTTTTCTGTCCATCTCTTTCTTTTCCCTTCCATCCTTCCCTTTTTCCACGTCTATCGTTCTGTCCATATTTCTGTCTTTTCCTGTCCATTTTTGTCCACATTTCTCTTTTCCTGTCCATCTCTGTATTTTCTTTCCATATTTTTTCCTGTTCTGTTGTCCATTTCTGTCTGCTCCTGCATATCTTTCCATCCACATTTCTTTCTTTCAGTCCACATTTTGTCCACATTTCTGCCTCTTTCTGTCCATCTCCCTGTCAGTTTTCCAGTCCATCTCTGTCAAAAGTTGTTTTTTCCTGTCCATTTTTGTCCACATTTCTGTCTCTTTCTATCTATCCCTGTCTTTTCCCTTTTCATCTTTCTATCTTACCCTGTTTATCTTTCTATCCACATTTCTGTTGTTCCTGTCCATCATTGTATCTCATTCTTCTGTCCATTTTAGCCCACATTTCTCTTTTTCTGTCCATCTCTTTCTTTTCTCTTTCATCCTTCTCTCTTTTCCTATCTTTCTGTCTCTTGCTGTCCATCTCTTTCTATTTTTCTTTTCCATCCTTCTCTTTTTCATGTCTATCATTCTGTCTATATTTCTGTCTTTTCCTATTCATTTTTTGTCCACATTTCTCTTTTCCTGTCCATCTCTGTATTTTCTCTTTCCATCTTTTTGTCTTGTTCTCTTGTCCATTTCTGTCTCCTCTCCTGTTTACCTTTCCGTCCACACTTCTATCTTTCCTGTCCACTTTTTGTCCAAATTTCTGTCTCTTTCTTAGGGTTGGGTATCGTTTGTTTTTTTTCCCGATACCGGTGCCAAATCGATACTTTTGAAACGGTTCCTGTGCCTGAACCGATACTTATTACAAAATAAATAAATAAAAATTCCCCCAAAAAATTATGGATTGGCCATTAGCACTATAAACACATGTTGTCTGTTTCATTTATACTGAAAGCCAGAGGGCGCCCTCGCACAGAAAATCCACATATCCAGTCACAGAAGTAGAGAGAACTCATGACCCTCCAGGAAATCCCTTAAATGGACAAAGGCATTGCTATTATATCTGTAACTGACTTAACAGAACATATAAACGTTTTGAATGATAAAACAAAGACAATAAACACTCGACTGCGACAATATAGTTTATCTGTGTTATTTAAGTCATCTCTGGTATTTTCATAATAATTAAGTATATTTATAATAGGGTGACCATATTTTAGTTTTCCAAAAAAAGGACAGTTGTGGGCGGGGCTTCACCTAACAGTATACATAGCAAGGTCTTTTTTTTTTTGTTGCTTATTTTGTTTTTTATAATAAATAAAAAGTAGAAAGAATAGAAAAAGAATAGGGAATGCTAGTTTTAGAGGGTAATTTTAAATAAAAATAAAACAATTCAATAGACCAGAAAAAGAACAGATAATGCTAGTGTTAGAAGGTCATTATTTATAATAAATAAAAAGAAAATAAGTGGAAAGAATAGAGAAAGAATAGAGAATGCTAGTGTTAGAGGATCTTTTTTCTTTATAAATAAAACAAGTAGAATAGAAATAGAATAGAGAGTGCAAATGTTAGAGGGTCAAGTTTTTAATTAAAAAGAAACAAGCAGATAAAATTAGAAGTAGCATTAGAATAGAGAGAGCTAGAGTTAGAGTTAGAGGGTCAAATGAAAATGAAAGGGATGTGTTTTCAGCCGTTTCTTCATCAGAGCAAGTGTAATTACTGCATTCACGTGCTCCTCGGATGCTCTCATTTCCCGAGTCGGAATGTGAAAACAACATGGACACTCGCGTTACTACAAAGGTTTGTTGGATTTGTATTGTTAGAGTTTTCCGACTTGAGTTCACGTGTATTTTCTCAGTCGGGAAATTATGTTTCACGTGCGGTGCCAGTGATGATGCTTCTTACGTCCGTTTCGGAGAACCAGAGGACAAATATTTCAATCGATCGCTCAGGCATGGCACCGAAATCTGCGTTCGGATTCGGTTCTAGTACATACCGGTTACATAGGTACCATTGCCATATTGGTACCGGGTTTCGGTACCCAACCCTACTCTTTCTGTCCATCTCCCTGTCTCTTTTCCAGTCCATCTCTCTGTCCACAGTTTTTTTTCCTGTCCATTTTTGTCCACATTCCTGTCTCTTTCTATCCATCCCTGTCTTTTCTCTTTTCATCCTTCTCTCGTCCCCTTTTTATCTTTCTATCCAAATTTCTGTTGTTCCAGTCCATCAGTCTCATTATTCAGTCCATTCCTCTATCCACATTTGTGTCTTTTCCTGTCCATTTTATCTACATTCCTCTCTTTCTGTCATCTCTCTTTTTTCCCTCTTCCCCATTTACCTTTCTATCTACATTCCTGTCCATCTTTTTATCTCATTCACCCGTACATTTTTGTCTTTTTTCTTTCTATCCTTCTCTTTCCCCTGTCTATTTTGTCCACCTTTCTATCTATCTCTCTCCCCGTCCCTGCGTTTTTCTGCACAAAAAGCACTTCTGTTGATTGTCTGATATGAAAATGAAGACATGTAAACGCCCCATCTTTGTCAACTTTTCAGATTAGAGACGAGTCAGATGAGAGTCCTCTAAATGATGTTCTCAAGTGAATGTAGCGAGAGACTGCATCCCACGAGGCCAGCTGTTCACACAAACACACCGGCAAACACAGTGAGAAATAAACCTTAATGAATGCATGCCTTCTAAATGCAGCGAAAATGACAAAATATCAAATCATCTTTTTGTTCAATTAATTTGCTCAAATGTGTTAGTCAACCAAGCGCCTCGCGCAAGATGCAACAGCTATTATCATAAAAGCTGCAATGCTGTTCTCCTTCAGGTCCTCTTCTAGTGAAACCCTACCTGACTGAAAGCAAGGGCTGACGACCTTCTCTGTTCTCCTGCCTTGATTAATAACTTAATATCTAATTAATTATGGAATTTAGCTGAGAGTGAAATGCTTTAATTTCCCTGAGCAGAATCTCCTGTCTGAAAACGAGTGATTAAGCGTCGGAGAGGTGAAAAGTGAAGGTCGCAACGCTCCGCTCTCCCCTCTTTTTTGAGCGCATTTAAAAAGCTTAATTGTATCACGTATGACAGTCCTTTGACCAAAGCCTTTTTCCCCCCTTCGGCACTTCACACGTTTTGTCATGTAAATGGCAAAGTATTTTCAGATCCCATCCGAAGAGTGTTCAGAGAGCGGGAACAGCGGTTGAAGGAAGATTAATGTTCTGTTACCTGCCTATTTTCTCTCAACTTCTTCAGCTCTTCACTAATGGCTTTTACCCTGACACGATAAGACGCTGCTGCAAATTTGTTCAAATGTTAGCAGCCCATTAAAACATTCCTAAATCTGCCTTACTGTTTAAACAAGCCCAAGGGCAGATAAAACCATGCGTTCCCACTCTCACTTTGTGTTCGCTCAAATTGGAGACTTGCCCCACTTGCCTCAGATTCTCCAACCGTGAGGTTAGCGAGGACGTTATTGCGCGCAGTGGAATCTAAATCTAGTTTAGTTCAGCTATGAGCAAGTGTGTCTGATGGACTCACCCTGGGGAAGGTCAGAGGGCAGGTACGGCACTTCTTGAGCGCTGACGTGTGTCCAGTCGAAGTCGTCGTAAGGATCCTGCTGGTAGTCGCATTGTGCTGGGCCATCATCGAAGGTGCAGCCGCCTAGAACAGAGCATCATTATATACATTACAACTCAAACACAAATGCACAACTTTATTAGTACAGAATCTGACAGCTTTCGGTGAATGAGACAATCACACAGCAAGATCCAAAAGTCTGTGACCACTAGTGAAAATGCAAATAGACTACTTTTTTTTTTTTGATACAGGGAAAGCCACAGTATTAAACCCACCCAAATACATGTTCTATGTGTTTTCTAGTACATCTTTCATTTGAACACATTGTTTTGTTACAAACTTATGTAATATATATATTTTTTTTTTCAAAGTGACATTATGTCAAATTAGGATTATGAATGCCAAATTTTCATTTTGATCACATACTTTAATTTATAAAGTATTTATATGACAATTTCTTTTTTAATATCGCATAAATACTTTTGTACATGATCATGATATATGCATATGAAGGGGATATGAATATGATATGTGACAGTAATGATCATTAAAGTGTTATACATCAAAGTACCGTCATCACTGTACCATGTTCAGTACTTTTTGTCAGGGTAAATACCTCTACTGATTTACCGTATGTCAGAAGAACAGGGTACTTTCTGCACATGCCCAAATCTAGTGCTCTAGTTTCCTCATATCAAACGTCCTCTGTTTGTGTTTCTCAAGTCGACAATCATGTTCTTACGACAACAACCCTTCTCTGAAGCAGCGACAGACTTTGTTACTCATTTACAGAGATTACTGATAGCTCAGTCTTATTATGAAAACTGCAGACGAAACGGGGTGATAATGAGTACTAGCACATACAGTCAAAGACTCAAATCAGCTAACAGGAGATTTATAAACCTCTTACAGTCACACAGACCTGCAGAAAGCATAAATCATCTGTGATTCATACTGTTATGAACACACAGAAACAGCCGGTTTGGTATGTTAGAGTTGTGGTGTGGCAGTAGTGTATTACACACTTACAACATAAAGGACAGTGTTCCCATCAAGAGTGTGTCACGTCCTGCTGCCATTCTCCCTGCCAATATCCGCCTGTGTGTGTGTGTGTGTGTGTGTGTGTGTCAAAACTAGCTCCCCTATTTAGTTCATGAGTGTGAGTGTGAATTGTTCACACCCCACAGGATGTTGAATTGATGTTTGAATTGAAATGACAGGATGATGAATTTACTGAACTGCAATACAAAGAAATGTACACAACAGATGAATTGCATTAGTAAAACACAAGCTTTGAGACCATATATAAATAATTACATAATTTATTTTGACTAATTATGCCAATTTATTACATGACATGTAAAATATATATTTTACACTGCATAAGCATTTTATTTTCTGGCGCTCTGCCATCATGATCCATCAAATAAAATATATTACAATTAAAACTTGAATGTAGCTATAGACCATTTAATACAAATTTAATATAAATGTACATTTCTAAACACACACACACACACATACACACACACACACAGATATATATTGGTATACAGTATATTGATGTCATATACTGTAAAATTGATATTTTGATATTGATATTAAAATTGATATTTCAGATTTTTTTAGTATATGCATTTCATTGAGTGTTCATATATATGTTTTTAAATGTACTTTTATATTGCAATAATTTCACACTCAATCTTCAAATTAGAAACAACATAAAGACCATATATTTTTAATATTTGTTTTTATGACTAAGGGTGAGCATTGGTGGAGTGATGCAGTAGAGTCTCAGTAAAGTATGACAAATTGTGTTGATCTGCTGCATCCTCCACAAACCAACAATAAGCTGCAAGACAAGGAACTGAGGCAAAAAATCTCAGCATTTTTATGGACATAATGGGCACATTTGTGCCGTTATTTGATTTGTTTAGTATAATAAAGTCCACCAGTGAGGTAAAGGAGAGTAAAATACAATCCCACCCACCAACACCTCCATCTCCTCCAATCTCTAACGTTCAACTACAACCTTCAGACTGGCCATTCATCTGAACGATTAACTATCATCATCTTGAAAAACTGTTAGACAGGCCGTCATGACTGACTCAGAACTTGATAGTGACTCTGAAGCAGTGCATTTATTATGTGAGGTTTTCTCACCTGTGTAAAGGTCAGACGCTCCGTGTTTTACATCCACTGACCTTTACAACCTCTCCGTGATTTCACAGAGAGAGCAGAAATCCAGACAGATGAAGGTGTTAATTAAACAGCCCTGCATAATATTGGGAAAGAAATATCTGCACCTTCCCAAGAGGCCACACAAACTTATCTCCGCAGCGAGGGCTGTGACACGAGCCCAAAGTTACACATGGAAATGAGTCCTCATCGTTCAACAGATCTCTACGCCAGACTGTGTCGCAACAAAAATTACAATAATCTCAACTTTGAGACACAAGCACATTTCGCAGGTTTTCTAGTTGCAGTATAATGCAATATGTAAGAGTAACAGACCTGAGCTGTGCGTTTTCATTGAATTTTAAGGGAATATCCTGTGCCAGTGTGGCGTAGACTTAGTTTTGAGCGAGTAAAACACACGTTTCCTACATTTTGCACTTCAAACACATGCAAATGTAGGAAACGGCTGACAACGACTTCTGCAAACAGACCGTTGCAAGAGTGGATTGAGTGTGTTAATGAACCAAAGAAGAAGACACTGACTTCCAGAGGGCAGGAGAGACGTCTGCACACTTAATCTGACTGATTATAAAGGCAGACTAATAATACCGCTGTCATTTACTGCTAATCCACGTACTTAGTGCCATGTCATGCTAAAATCATTTGAGACACACAAAATTAAAAGACGTGTCACTTCTCATGCATCCAAGAGCACTAATAAAAGTTGCATTATGAGCTGAGCCTCAAATCTCTAACAACACCATTTCATCTATTACTGATCAAATTGGCCATAAGCTTGAAAATATGTGGGCGGGTTTTGTTTAAAAGTGCAAATATCACAAAAAAATTGCATATGCATGCTTATTATTATTATTTCTCTTTCTGATTTTGTAATATTCATCCACTGAATCTTACTTTAACAACATGTCATCGAATTCTGTTTAAATTAAAACATACATCAACATGGGTTTCATCCATAGGTTAGATCTACGTAAAACTTCCCTGGACCTGAACCGAGAATGAACTCCTTACTTACGCACAATCTTAGCGTTATTGTCTTTAGTTCCTCTGTGAGCGCTGGCCATCGATTAAATGTATTTGCGAAAAGGCCAGTGTGTGTATTTTAAACGCTTAGCCATACAAAGAGACTCCCAAACCAAAGCCAATCATCTTCAAATTCAAGACAAAATACAACACCCACTGAATCGTCTCGCAGCGTTTAATTTATCTGCAGCACAGGAAATTGAGCTCCGTTCTCGCAGTGGCGTCTGCCCACATTCGCACACACATAATATTCTCCAGCATCACAAAACCAAACACCTCCACACACCATCTGACTCTCTTTGACGCGCTTGGCTCCGCCGAGGGGCCGGAATAGCCACGGATAGCTGGCCCGAGGACAGAGCGCCCGCTTATGTGCCGAGGACAGAATTCATCTGTCTAAATGGGGCAGCGGCTATTCAGGAGCTCCAAATCGCCACAATCCCACTGCCTTATGCAGCAAATATCTTTCATAGCCCACCGAATGCATGGCATTTCACGGCCGCAGCACTCGGCTAATTGTGCAGGACAGACGGGCAGAGCGCTTTAATGAGTCCATAACGCGGCGCTCCGCTCCAGATGGGCCCGAGCGCGGCTCCTGCAATCAGCGACGCTGCAAGGACACTAACGGGGATGATTTGCATACTAATCTATGGCTGCTAATATTCAGCCTTGCTAATGAAATACTGTAATAGCCTGCTCTTGATTTACATAATAAAATAATTATTGTGTCTGATAAAACCTCAAGGGTAAAGCCTGTTCGCAGTCGCCAATAAACACGGGTTAACAACTCCATCCCTGCACGCTCATAAACACCCGCTTATTAATAGCGATCGGGAAAGAGACTTTCCCTGCAAAAGCGCAGGACACAAATCAGCATCAAGTCAGCCCACGTTCTCGAATTAAAACTCAGGAATCGATTCCTAATATTGCAAACTAGCCAGATGTGGAAAACGGTATGGTGGGAGGGGATGGAATCAATCATGAAGCCATCAGCTCCTGAACTAAATTGAAAAACACAAATAATGATCCAATCAACATGAAGAAACACAGATAGCGCTTGTGTTGTTTTGGGTGAAATGGGAAAATGTTATTTTACAGAAGGTTAGTCACAGACAGCGTCAGATTAATCAACTTCACTAGAGATCTCATAAATAAAACCTCCGCTCTGCACTGCTTTATTTTACTCTGTTCAGGCCTGCGCCATTCATAGCTACATTTCTAATCATGAAGGCACAGTTTTTAACCCTGCAGTGCCAAAATGCTGCTAGAATGGTGTTTAGCAACCAATCGTAAACTCAATAATGGTTTCTTGGTTAAAAATTCATGAGCTTTACAAAGCTGCAAAATCTTTAAAGCGCTGTTCATTTTCAGTTAAAACTGTGAAGGCACATTAACTGGCGTGTTATTTTTACAGTTTTGCTTTGAAATGTCTATAAGACAAACTGATGCTAGTGGAAAAGTGAACTCAAGTCTCTCCATGACTTAAATTAAAAGACAGCAAAAGATAAGCCAGTGCTAAAAATGACCTTGGTTCCACAATTTCACATGTGAAAGCCTGTAGCTATACAATATGAGGGTCAACGGTGTTGAAGAAACAAACGACTTTGCAACTTCGGTGACTTCCAAAACTGAAAGGACAGCTGCGATGACGGCTAAATGGCTTCTCTCACTTTTACCTAAAACAAAATGCTCAATTATGTAGAAATAACAAAAGGTGACACTTGTCTGTAGGTAAAGAATACGTGTCACTTCCTCCGCTGTGCCTGAGTGCTTCGATTCACGGCTGCAAAATGCTATGACCACAGGTTTACGGCTGTTTTTGTGTGCTTCACTGTGCTTTCGTCGAGTGGACCGAGAGTCTA